CTGAAATTCCAGCAGACGTTTTTTATTTTGGTAGAAATTGACAAATTGATTCCAAACTTTATGTGGAAAAGCAAAAGATTTAAAATAGCCAAGACGATCTTTAAAAAGAACAAAGTAGGAGGGCTTACACTACCAGATTTTAAGAGTTAGCATAAAGCAACAGTATTTATGCCACTGTGGTGTTGGCATAAGGGTTGACAATTAAATCAATGAAACAGAATAAAATTCCAGTAATGGCTCCACATGTCTGCAGTCACTGGATTAAACACACACACACACACACACACACACACACACACACACACACACACACACAAAGGCAATTCACAGGGGGAACAGAAGACCTTTTAATAATTGGTGCTAGAACAATTGTAGATCCATATGGACCATAGATCTAAATGTGAAAAGCTAAACATATAAAATTTCTATAATAAAACACACAGAATATCTTTATGCCTTTGAAGTAGTAAAAAACTTCTTAGGATAGAAAAGGCAAATAATTTTTTATAAAGTGCTAAATTAGTCTTAACAAAATTAAAAACTAAAAATCATTAAAAGATAGGAAACATAAAAGGTAAGAAGGTCATAGACTGGTAGAGAATATTTGCAATACACAAAACTGACCAAGGACTTATATTCAAGATAAACAAAGAACTCCTACAAATTAAAGATAAAAATAAGAAATAAAAATGGTCAAGCAACTTGAACAGGTACTACACAAAACAAAATACACGAGTGGGCAATAAACATATGATAAGGTGCTCAACATTGTTAGCCATCAAGGAAATGCAAATGGAAACCACAATACATTAGAACACATACAATTACAAAGACTAACAATTCCAAGTGTTGATAAAGATCTGGAGCAACTGGAACTTTGATACCTTGCTGATGGCCGATGGGACTGTAAAAGAGTACAACCATTTTGAGAAATTACTTGGTTGTTCTTGATAAAGTTAAGTATACACCTATTTTAACACCCAGCAAGTCCACTCTTAGGTATCCACCCTAGATAAATGACTGCATACATCCACAAAAAGACCTAAGAATGTAACTTTACTCATAATTGTTGAAAACTGTAAACAACCCAAATATCCACCAACAGATGACTGGGTAAGCACATTGTGGTATACTTCTCAACAATACATTAGAACAATCTGATACACATACATTGATGAATCTCAAAAATACCATGTTGGGCCAAATAAGTCAGACATCATAGAGCAGAGGTCCCCAATCCCTGGGGTCATTGATCAGTCCTGGGTCATGGCCTGTTAAGAATCAGGCTGCACAGCAGGAGGTGAGCCGGTGAGTGAGCAAAGCTTCATCTGTATTTACAGCCTCTTTGCTTGCATTACTGCCTGAGTTCTGCTTACTGTCAGATCAGCAGCAGCATGAGATTCTCATAGGAGAATGAACCCTATTGTGAATTGCGCATGCAACAAATCTAGGTTGTGTGCTTCTCATGAGAATCTAATGCTGCCGCTGATCTGCACAATAAAAGTAAAACTCTTGAATCATCCCAAAACCATCCCCTCCGCCGTCTGTGGAAAAATAGTCTTCCACAAAACCAGTCCCTGATGCCAAAAAGGTTGAGGACCACTGCCATAGATCACTGTGTGATCCCATTTGTGTGAAGTTCAAGAACCAGTAAAACAAATCCAATGGTGATAGAAGTGAGATGACAGTTATGTTTGAGGGTTGGGTATTAACTTGAAAAAGAGACTGGAGGAATGCTCTGTATCTTGGTCTGGTTGATGATCAAGTGATGATAAAAATTCACTAAACTGCAGACCCATGTTCTGTACATTTTATTGTCATGTAAGTGGCCTTCAATAAATTACTGTTAAAATTGCCTTTATGAAAACACTAACTATAGTGACAATAACAACAACAACAAAAACAGGGAGAAAAAATATCTGGCACTTTGTGTGAGATGAACACTCTAGTCTCTCTTCAATTGTTACCAGTTTTGTGCCATGTAGAATTTTCAGTGTTGTTGTTGTTGGTATTTTTTTCCTGCTAAATTTAGATCATGAAACCTACTTTTATGTGCACAAATCAAGCACTGAGACAGAGAATTATTTTCCTGACTTAGAGCGGAAGAGACTTCAAAGGAGTGGATAGTTAAGGCATTGGGAAAGTAACTGTGGAAACTGAACAAGAGATGCTCAAAATCAACCACGGCACTGGGTCAAGGACCAGCACAAGAAGACAGGGACGCAGAGATGTGGGTGAGAGCAGGGATTCCGTATGCAGATAACAGGTCTGACCCTCTGAACACAATGGAGCCAGTGAAACCGGGAGTGAGCAAGACAAACAGAAAGAGAGTGTGCAAAAACCCCAGATGTCTCACATCCAACAAGCACTTGTAGAGTGGCTCACTGACTGTCAATATTACATTGACCTGGAAAAACTCGTATCTTGGACTTTACTTTTAAAAGCAGTAACTCAAAGCTCTTAGAACCCAACAGCCCTCTGGGAGGCTTTTGTCTAGAAAATGTCCCCATAGCAGGTACATTATGACTTCTATTACCACAGAAATTCAGCTCAGAAAATGTAGCAGAGACAAATGGTAAGTGGAGTTATTAGTCCCTGCTTTTGAGCCACTTGTGATTAACGTAGACATGCTCACCAAATCTTCTGTCCTCACTTAGCCACAAGACAAAAGGAAGCACAGTTTCATGGACAAGCTGGACTTGGGGGAGTGCAAACAGGAAGGGGCTCAGTTCTTCCTCCCGACTCCCCTGTCAGCTGGCTCTATAGGTTGGCACGGCCTGCCTTCTGTGAATCTCAGGCAGACCACCTGCTAAGCTCTTCTGGCCACTTGTAGGTCATAAGCAAATAGTCTCTTTTGCTAGGTATTAAAGAGTGCAGCCCAAAGCGATTGCCAAACTGCCAGCTCCTCCCTTCTCCTCGTCCAGACCTGCCACAGCCAGAAGCTTCTACCTCTTGCTCCATCTTCTTCCCATCCCTTTAGTTGCTGTTTAAGCCTTCAAAGCAGGGCCTCTGCGGGGACTTCTCAGACATGCCTTACTGGGGGTCTCCAACTGCAATCCTCTGGTGTGCTCAAAGTTCTCAAACAGGTCACTTTAGGCCAAGGGCTCCCAGCCCCTCTCTTAGCAGGAAGCACTCTTGGGGGGTGTCCTTTTCAAACCAGTTCATAACTGGCTCCCTTCCTTGGGGTCCACACAGAAATCATGCAGTTCTGCTGTCCTTTGGTGTCAATGTCCCCTGCTCCCTGCTCAGCCTCGCCCTGCCTCCTCTTGCAGGCTGGTCAGTCCTCTCAACTCTACATGTCTCCAGGTGTGAGTCAGGTTCCTATTCCTATGCCACCAGATTTCATAGATTCCCAAATGGATCTCTTGAGGCCCCCTTCATTTGGCTTAAGATGAAGGGAAAGGACCCCAGGAGAAGAGGAGAAAACTCACAGTACCCTGGCATTTACCTCCATAGAACCCTGGCAGCCAGCCTCCTCACGCCCCATTTTGTTGATTGTTAAAATATGGAAATATTTGGGTACCAATTGGCAAGTAGCTACTGTCCTGAGTTCCCCTCTCCTCACTCCCAGGGTCCATTCTAGGCGTCTTTGGGACTCTTGCTCCAGTGTTGTGTCCTGATTGTCAATTATAGACTAATCATTCTTGCTGATATCCCCTACAGGGGGAAAGTTGTACTGATGTGGCTTCACTGTCTCTTGTTCTTGGCTCTTGGGGCTTAAGCCAGGTGTGTGTGTGTGTGTGTGTGTGTGTGTGTGTGTGTGTCTGTGAGAGAGAGAGAGAGAGAGAGAGAGAGAGAGAGAGAGAGAGAGAGAGAGAGAGAGAAAGAGAGATATCAAAGCCCAATGGGCAAAGCAGCCTCAGGAAGCACAATGTTTCCCCTACCTCATTCTGGGATTCTGGGTAGGTTGCTTTGACCACACTTCTCCAATGCAGACCTGGGGACACTATTTCGTTGTAACCATTCAGGGATTTGTTGAGATTGTAAGGCTTCTAGGCATTTCACTTAATGAAATAACAAGGGTTGTGCATTAGGATTTTGGCACAATAATGTTTATCATAGTGTGGTTTACAAAACAGCAGATGTTTGAAACTGCCTCGTGTCAGAGATTGCTGTTGCCTCCCCTCAATCCATTCTCCCCTTCTTCCTTAGTGATCAGACCTATTTATTGGGGGCAGAAACAGATCTGGCTTTAAAATGACATATATTTCCCAACTTCCCTTGTAGGTGGAGGTGGCCATGTGACCCAGTTTTGGCCAATGGGATATAAGCAGCAATGGTTGAATGGGCTTAAGTGAAGGGCAGACTTGGCTGGTGTGCACCCTTCCCCCCTGGCCTTTTTCCTTCCCTCCACCTCAGTTGTGGTTGTGATGGCTGGGGCTGTAGCAGTCATCTTGACAGATGGAAGAATAGAAAACTAGAAGGAGCCTGGATCCCTGCAGCCATGAAGGAGCTGTGGTCATAACCCACCAGACTTCTTTCACACAAGAGCCAAATAGATCTCTGTCTTGGTAAGCTGTGCTATTTATTTATTTTTTTGTTATAAGCAGCTGAATTCAGTATAACTGATGCAATACACAAACATCCAGTAATAGGAGCATGATTAATAAATCAGAATCCACTCATAATACAGAATATTTTATAGTAAGATCTCATTTTATGAAGAGAAAGTATGCATTAAGCATCTAGAAAAAAGACTTGAAATGCATTTACAATATATTAAAACCCCTCTTGGTGGTGGTGGTACAGTGACTTTTCTACTTCTCAATGCATATAATAACTAAAATTTCCTAGTTTTGTGACAGAAGAATGATAATAGGTTTTTTTAAAAAAAGGAAATTGTGTGGCAGTTTTTTTTTTTTTAACATGAGCAAAAGAAAGTTACTTTTTTTTTTTTTTTTTTAACATGACACCCTTTAGCCTTGTCAAGTCTTTGCAGTAATGACCCCTGCTACATCTTTTCACGAACCAGCCCTTCCTTGTGATTTGCTGTCTCTTACCTCGTTCTCTGGGCTCCTGGGCCTGTCTGCATTGGCGCTCTCTGGGGAGGCATTCTGCTCTGGGGGCAATTCAAGGTCAGGGGCTCATTTCTAGATTTTCCATTTTCCTGTGAATCTGTGGCATTCAAGAAATGGAGCAAGTTAGAAAATATCCATCTCCCCCTTTTCAGGCACTTCTATGTGAGACTAGGGCTGCAGCAACTGATGTCCTGGGATGGAAGGAAGTAAAGTAGGGAGGGGTGTTCCTCTTCTTACTCCTGAAGGTGATTTGCCATACCTTGTGCTATAATGGGACCTGGGATGCCATCCCTATGAAAACTATAATCATGATACAAGCAACTTGATATACACATACACATACACATACATACTTTCATATATACTAAGTGGAAAGAAGAATATTGAAAATAAGATTGTAGGCTGGATATGGTGGCTCACGCCTGTAATCCCAGCACTTTGGGAAGCTGAGGCAGGAGGATTGCTTGAGCCCAGGAGTTGGAGACCAGCCTAGGCAACATAGCAAGAGCCCTGTCTCTACAAAAAATAAAAAATGGACTCCTGCAGTCTCAGCTACTTGGGAGGCTGAGGTGGGAGGATTGTTTGAGCCCAGAAGTTCAAGGGTGTGGCAAACCATGATTTAAAAAAAAAAGAAAGAAAGAAAATAAGATTGCTAACTTAGATACAAACTTGGCTAATGCCTTAGAGGAATATAAAGCCATAGTCATTAATACACAAGGATCCAGTAATAGGAGCATGATTAATAAATAATAATAAATAATAAATAATAATTAATTAAATAATTTGCAACCTGTCAATATTTTAACATTTAACTTTATAATATCTGAGTCCAAATCAATATCAAATAATAAATCAAGTTACCTTCTCCTAGCTCACCGATGGATGGGATTGTGAGTCAATGCTCTGGTGTGATTTTGAAAGGGTACCCATTTAGCAGATGACGGAGAATGTCCCACACCTGCTAGACCCAAACCTCATGTCATGTCCCCAGAGCATGAGCTTCTTGGATTGTTAGGGAGTGGATCAGAGAAGCCTGATGACCAGGCGACCCGTCTGTCCTCTCCTTTCCTCCCCCTGCCTCTCTGCCCCATGCTCTTTCTCATCAGTGAGGTCGAGCAGAATATTTCTCCTTGGACCTTGGATCAGGAAGCACTGAGCAGTCTGAGGAGGGAGGTAAAATGAGGGAGTCATTTTATTTTTTGTTTATTTTTATTTTTCATTTTTTGAGTCGGGGTCTCACTCTGTCACCCAGGCTGGAGTGCAGTGGCACAGTCACGACTCGTTGTATCTTGACCTCCTGGGCTCAGGCGATCCTTCCATCTCAGCCTTCCAAGTAGCTGGGATTATAGGTGTGTGCCCCCACACCCGACTGATTTTTTGATTTTTTTGTAGAGAGGAGGTCTTGATATGTTGCCCAGGCTGATCTCAAACTCCTGGGCTGAAGCAATCTTCCTGCCTTGGCCTCCCAAAGTGCTGGGATCATAGGTGTGAGCCACCACGCCCAGCCAGAAATAAAACTTCGAGTCTGATGAAAACATTTTGGCTGGACATAAAGGCACCTTTGGGGGTGGCAGGAAGTGAAGTGACCCCTGTTCTGTCTACACTGGTGTCAGCATCCTTGGCTTGGCTTGGGGAGGCCACAGACTCAAGGGTCTTTCCTCACCAACTCTATTTCCCTTGGCCAGCCTCATCCCAGACACAACCAGACACAGATCCACATGCACCTTTTCTCTCACTCCAGAAAGACTCCTAACTCCCAACCTGGCAGCTGTGTCTGCTATTCTGTCTGCTTGCAATGCCTTAATCCTGCCCTGTCCGATAGGGTGGCTGCTAGTCACACATGGCTGTCATGCACTTGAAACTTGTGGCTGGTGTGATCAAGGAAGTGAATTTTCCATTTTATTTAACATTTAATTTAAATGTAAAAGCAAAAACTCACATTTGATTCCGTTGTTGGAAAACTTTTAAGGATATTTGGAACAATTTGGGTATGTAAATCTACTTTTCTGACTGTACATTTTATGGGATCTAAATCCAGATCAAGTATTTCCAATGAAAATTTGGCATGCGAATTGAGAGGGGCTGCAAGCACAAAATACTCAACAGATTTCAGAGACTTGGTGCAAAAAAAAAGCATGTAAACTATCTCACTGATACATTTTATATTGATCATTAGTTACAGGATAAAATGATATATTTGCATCTGTTGGGTAAAATAAAATGCATTGTTAAAATTAATTTCACCCATTTTTTGGTACTTTTAAAATGTGGCCACTAGAAAAATGTAAATGACACATGTGGCTTGCAGTGTATTTCTATTGAACAATAGTGCTCTAACCCCCTTTTCTCTCTTTACAGGCTTTGGAGCTAGAAGGACCTGAATTCCAGTTCATGCTGTACCATGCACTGGCTGTGTGATTTTTGGGAAGGGGTTTAATTTATCTGGGCCTCAGACATTGTGGTTTTTTTGTTGTTTTTTGTTTTTGGGGTTTTTTTTTGAGTTGGAGTCTTACTCTGTCACCCAAACTGGAATGCGGTGGCATGCTCCCGGCCACCGCAGCCTTGACCTGCTGGGCTCCGGCGATCCGTTCAAGTAGCTGAAACTACAGGCGTGCGCTACCATGCCTGGCTAATTTTTTGATTTATTATAGAGATGAGGTCTCGCCAAGTTACCCAGGCAGGTCTCGAACCCGCGGGCTCAGGCAATCCACTCACCTCAGCCTCCCAAAGCGCGGGATTACAGCCTGAGCCACTGAGCCCGGCTGATTGTGTTTTTTTAATCTGTGAAATGGGTGTGGTAAGAATTTCCTTGAAATGCCTGTCTAGTACAGCCACTGTGTACCTGCAAGTGCGCCCGTTCTCTCTCTGGCCATGTCCTTACACATCCTTCAAGACTCTTCTAAAATATCATCTTGGGGAAGTTTTTCCCAACTCCATCAGAAGGGTCTAGTTCTTTGCCTTTACCTCTCTTGTAAACTTTGACACATGGCTGGCAGTAAAATAACATCATCACAATACTGTGGGTTCCTTAAGGGCTGAGGCTCCAGCTTCCTTTGTGTGTGAAGGTATGTTTTTAACTTTTAATTTATGGGGTTCTTCTAACATACAGAAAAACTCAGAAAGTGATGTAACGTATCAATCTCCCAGCTTCCATGACTGTAGTATTTTGACCATCATATTTGTCTTGCTTAACTTGGCACACGGTACATGAGTTTGTTAGTGTTTGTGGTAGATGACAACACCCACAAATCCTACCACTGTAGAAGGGTAGAGTCAGCTTTTCTACCCCCTTTTATATAGGCTGGCCCCATGGGCTACTCTGATCAACAGAATGAGGTACCAGTGACTATGCAAGGTCTGAGTCTAGGCCTCGAGAGGGCCAGCAACTTCTACTCTTGTTCTCTCGGGATCCAGCTGTCATGTGACTAAGTGAGTCAAGTTGCTGAAGAATAAGGGACGACGTGGAGTAGAACCAGGCAGTCCAGCTGAGGTGTCTAGCTCACATACCATTAGAGAGTTGGGAAAGGATATCCTCTACCTTCCAACCCCAGATGAGCTACCACCTGGCTACAGAGGCCAGACTAACTGGCCCAGAGATAGGAGCCACCCAACCGACCCCCACAATCATGACAAATAATAAATATTATTATTTTACATCTCTATATTTTGAGAGGAGTTTAACTTGAGGCAGAAAGCCACCTGATATGGGGCTTAATGAGTACTTTTGAATGAATTAATGAAGTCCCTGGATCTAAAACAGGGGTTGCCACACCCCCAGCACACTCAGAGTAGGGCTGTCTGGTGGTGGCTGCTGTGCCCCTGGTGCTAAGAAGGTGTCACATACTCTGCAACCGCAGCATGCTGTCCAGCGGTCATGTGGGCAAGTGACAAGGAAAGGGGTCTGTAGCACCAACACCCCCATTTGTAAACGTTTCTGAACTTTATTCTGCTCAACAAATATATTTTGAACAGATAAAATGTACTAGGAACTGGTCTAACAGATTAAGGTGTCTTGCTGCAAAGGTACTCCCAAGGCTTTAATCTCATTTATTTTCAGGACAGCAGAAACTCTGGCCATCATGAAGCCAGTGAGAAAACAGGATAGAACCTAACCACTGTGGAAATTCGTGTTCCCAGAAGACCCCCAATGTGGATGGTTCCAAGTCTCTGTCCCAGAATGTATGTATGACTTAGGATGTTTTGCTGAGTTCTAGAACAAGAAGTCTTTTTTAAAGAGAAGCCAGTCTGATTGTATAATCTGTGTGAACACTTTCTCCAGAAGTATATACACATCATCATATTGGGAGGGATTTGAATTCTTTAGACAATGGTTTCGCAATGCTCTGCTTTATTGGCCCTGTCCTTGGTAATTTTCAATGCCATTTATTCTCTTCTCTCACTGAATGAGGACCTTTCAGCACTGATGACTGTAGCTGGATATAAAGGAACAGTTGTGACAGCTGTCTCTGGTACTGACCTGCGAGGTGGCTGGCATTCTGTTTAGGAGTATCTATGACCTTGGCTTTGCTTCTGTGACTCATAGCACGATTGAAGATGGAATTTCTTTTAACTGGGATGTAATGATGAGGTTCTTTGTCTTGGGTCTCCTGGTCAGCGTGGGGAGGCTCTTCTTTTTCTGAGAGCAACTCAGGTCTCACCTTGGTTGGTTCATCATCAGTTTTCCATGAACCACTCACTGATTTCCTCCGAGATTTTTCCAGATCTTCAGATCCCTTGGTCTCCATGGGAAGAGATCCGACTGTGTTTCAACAGACTGACTGGGGAGTTCAAAACCAAACTTCACTGGTTTTGAGTGCTTTAGAATAGAAAGAGAACAATTTTTAGTTACAGTCATTGTGGCTAAATACTCTATTAAGAGTATAGAATTCTGCTGCAATTTAGATTTGGTAAAATTTGAAATATTCTGCACATCTTGGCATCCATGTCTTTGTCAATGAAAATCATAGCTTAATCACTGCAATTTGGATGGATTCATGTATCATTATGTAATTGAGGTTTGTTTATATTATTCACAGGATGCACTTTTGGGAGGAAATGTTTAAAGTGGCTTGTATAAGTACTTTCAAGTAAACATTTCCTAAACAATTAACGGAAAAAAAATAGTAAAATAGTGAGGAAACTACAGGAAAGGAATGAGAGGGACTGGAAATGTATAGATATGAAAAGAAAGAACCTTGGAAGATGAGAAAGGGGCAGGCAGCCAGTGCAAGCTCTCACGAAGTAAATTTAGAGGTGAGCAGGCTTGAACTCCGTGAGGACAGACCTTGTAATCAATTTGTGGCCTAGTCTACAAGGAAGACCCAAAAAAACCCTGAAATTATCTTGTCCCTTGTAGTATCACCTTCCACCACTAGGTGAGTGTTCTAGGAAGTAAATCAGCACCAGTGTTCCAGCTGGTGTTGTGAGAGGCTGCCTTCGGCTTCAGTTAGTTTTTTTTTTGGAGATTCTTTCCATTGCATTTGCCCATTTCCTGGTTTGGGATTTACAAGTGCACCTGCCTACACCATGAACATGAATGTTCAGCAGTTTTTGACCAAAAATTGCATGACCCCCATGCCTTATCCTCCCTATTCACCTGATCTTGTCCTGAGCGACTTTTTTTTTTCACTTCTCCAGATGAAAAAAGTTCTCAAAGGGAAATGTTTTGCTGACATGGCAGAGGTGAAGCAAAAAATGGCAGAAGTACTAAAAGGCATCCAAATTAAAGAGTTCAAAAACTGTTTTGAGTAGTAGAAAAAGCATCTTAATAGGTGTATTACATCAAGCAGAGAGTACTTTGAAGGTGACTGAAGTTTAAATATGCAAGAATAAATACACAACTTTTTATAAATAAATTCTAGTTATTTGGGGGTCACTCCAGTAGTGGGTACATTAGTGGCCTCTCTGATGGAATACTGTATAGTCTTGGTGGGATAATAAGAACCCTCCACATGACACGGCCACTCTCCCATGGGCTGGAGTCACAGAATGGCTACCTCACTCTGGGTGACCATATAACATATTGTCTGAACCAGGACACTTTTCATAGGAAAAGGGGAGACGAGAAACAAACCAGGACTGTCTAGGCAAATCCCACCTGCCTCCCAACACGAACCTCCTTCCATGGGAGGGTCACTCAAGATGAGAGACTGTGTGACTTTTTAGTAAATCTAAGCAAGTGGGATGGTGTGTTAGATGGAGAAGGCAAACTAGGAATTCTTTGTGGTTCCCCAGCCATCCGAGGACTTGGAACCCAGGCTCCCATGGACTCCAGGGAGGGTTCGGGGTTACAAAAGCTGTGTGTGTGTAAGTATGTCCATTTTTCTGGGTTTCAAGTCTGGAGTTTTTAATCATCTTCTCGATGGGGTCAGAGACTCAAATAAGTTTAAGAGTCATCTTTTTTTTCTATGTCCTCCTTTGTAAAATGGAGAGAAGAGAGGGCCGGACTTGAGGGCACCTCTCTTCCCACTGCACCCCTCTTCTTACCCATACTCCCTCTTCTGGAGTTCCCCCTGAATGAATTCCCAAACCCCTTCTTCTGCCCCTACCCAGCCAGCCCCACACCACCAATCTCAAGGCAGCTGGTCAGTTAGAACAATCAGGAGGAATGTGGGTTTCCCCGTCTTAGGCAGAGAGTGTCTTTCTAATCTAAGGCAGGAATTAGGGCTTTCTGGGTAGGGAGATTTGAGGACTGTAGAGCACTACAGTTTCTAGAACCAGTAACTTATGACACAGATGCGGAAACTTCACCCTGGGCTATTGCTTCTTTTCCCACTTGCCTGCAGGTGGGAAATATTGCCTGATATATTCAATATTCTGCCAGTGATCTTACTTATAAATGATCAGCCAAGCAGAAATGAGCATTAGGGTATTCAGAGATTGTCTTGGTGCAGGCTGGCTGGGCACAGTAGTGCAGCCTGAGCTCGTGGGACCTAGGGAGCACCTTCCCTGCCGCCCTCAGTTGTGGGACCCAGCAAGCCAGCCCCTTCTGAACCTGGCCTCGGTTTCCTGATCCAAGAAATCAGGGTGTGTATTGTGGGATCGGTGAGGTCCTATCTAGCCAGGGAGTAATGCTGCTGTTTCAAGTGGCAGAGAGGATTGTGCAGGGGCTGGGAGGTTACGTATGTTGAACCATCAAGACACATCCTTCCCAGGAGTACTGGAAGGATTGTTTATCATACACATAGCCAGGAATCCACAGCTCCAGCGATGGGACAATTTTCACTCACAACAAGTTCAGCCTGAGTCAGTGAGGGAATGAGTTTACAATAAATGCTAAATTGATCTTGAGCCAGCAAGAGAATGAATGAAAAAGTGAGAGAGGTTTCTGTCCTAGTCAGATGAGTGCAGGATCCCAGCCCTTCAGTGCAGGGACTGGCAGAGAGGGCTCAGGACTCTGTTGTCACCCATCTGGGTGGAGGGCCTGGGGGAGGGAAGACCAGGCCAAGGGCAGATTTCTGCTCAATATATGCAGAGACCTTGAGTTCCAGAGCCACTGAGGACTGGAGCGGCTGCTGGAGTGAGGGGCTCAAAGTCCCTATCACTGGTGGTGTCCAGATGAAGGCTGGAAAGGCTACTGAGATTTAGGATTCAGGCCAGGTATGGTGACTCATGCCTGCAATTCCAGCACTTTGGGAGGCCAAGGCAGGAGAATCAATTGAGCCCAGGAATTCGAGACCAGCCTGAGCAACATAATGAGACTTGATCTCTACAAAAAAATTTAAAAATTAACCAGTCATGGTGGCGTGTGCCTGAGTAGTCCCTGCTACTCAAGATTCTAAGGTGAAAGAATTGCCTGAGCCCAGGAGGTTGAGGCTGTGGTGGTTGTGATCATGCCACTGTACTCCAGCTTGGGTGTAACAGAGTGAGACCCTGGTTAAAAAGAGAGAGAGAGAGAGATTTTAGGATCCAGTGACACCCACCTGTCCCCTCTCCCAGCATCCCCTCCCTTCCCCAGAAACTAGATGTGGCTTGCCCTTTCCTGACTGTAGATGGAGCTTCGGGGGAATTAGGTTGTCTGGCTTCTTCAGCCTGTTATGCTGCATTTGCGACTCAGCCTGATGTTGCCTATATCAGGGCTGATCACTAGTGTGTACTGTGCAATGTCACTGACACAGGGACACCCACACCATACATCACCAAGAGCACTGGGCCAGGAGTCAGGGGACCTAGGTTCTCTTCTCCACTTCCAGCTTTCAGTAATCACCTACTTAGCATTGAACGAGTCAGGACCTCAATTTCCCCTCTAGGAAACATGGGGGTGGATGGGTGTTCTGGGTGGCTCCCTCCAACGCTCAAATTCTGTGATCTAGAGAGGCTAAGAGAGACCTCAGAGGGATGCCTATGGTATGACAATGTCAGGGGGATTGTTCTCCAACTATCCCGTTTTATTTATTTTTATTTTTTATTTTTGAGTTGGGGTCTCACTTTGTCACCCAGGCAGGAGTGCAGTGACATAATCACAGCTCACCGCAGCTTTGACCTCCTGGGCTGAGGCAATCCTTCCACCTCAGCCTCTCAAATAGTCAGGACTACAGGCCCGCACCACCACACCTAGCTAATTTTTTTTATTTTTTGGTAGAAAAGAGGTTTTGCTATGTTGCCAAGCTTGGTCTCGAACTCCTGGGCTCAAGTAATCCTCCTGCTTCAGCCTCCCAAAGTGCTGGGATTACTGGCGTGAGCCACTGCGCCTGGCTCCATTTTCTTTAAATGAGAAGGCTCTGAAAATTTGAGAAAATTTATTCCAAAATCTTACCATCTTTAAGACTCTCTCCCTCTCTCTCAGACACACACACACACACACACACACACACACACACACACACACACACACACGAAGAACTTGTAAAATGGCCTGAAAAATAACTCTAATTCTGCCTCAATTATTGACTATTTCAAGCAAATGTGCTCTAAGTCTGGAATATTTTTATAATTGCCTTAATTCATCTATATCCATTAACTGTGGAAAAGTCCCCAGTGCCCTAAAACCCCAGCCGTCCAAGCTTCAAATGTTTCCCTTAATTTCTCGGTAGCTTTAAGCCCTGTGTTTACTCCAGAGGTGACTTCAGGGTGGAGGGGCCTGGGGATAGCTTTGTGATTGGAGATGGGGGTAGGGCTGATAGTCATGCCATACTTGCATAGCATTCATTCATTCTCCACTCAGCAAACATTCACTGAGCACTGACTGGTATATGACACGTATCTTTGTTTAATGTCTGTCTACACTCTCTCATTAACAAGCTCCTTAAGGACAGGACTTGGCCTGTTTGGGTCACTGCTGTCCCTGATGCTGGGCACACAACAGCACTCTGTACACATCTGTTGTTTACAACAATAGATGAATAATCTTAGCTAAGCCTCACAACCTCTGCCTGATATTATCAATATGATAATTATCCCATTTTATAGATGAGGAAGCTACATCTCCCAGAATTCTGGTAGCTTGCCCAAGATCACATAACTGGTGAATGGTGTGGTGAGGGTCACACCACATCTGCCTGACTCATTTGCTGGGGTCTCATCTGAGACCAGCATGATGTGGTCAAAAGATACTGTTGTAAATACTGGCTGAAGGCAGGCCTGGATCGGTCAGGGGCAGGAGCTGGGTCTGTTCTCTCTCAGTGCTAGTTCTAGGGCTTTGGGCACAGAAGCTGACAGTGACTATTAAACCTCTCAATGTGGGACTGAGGGCCAGGAGTCCCTGCATGAATCAGTGGCCTAGGAGGTCAGGACGCATTGGAAAAAGGAGGTGGGAGGGGGCAGCTGGCTGCAGGGACAACCGTAGCAACCGAAGCCAGCTGCTGGGTGAGGGCAGGA